TTTTTTTTTTTTTTTTTTTTTTGTCTTTTACCTGTGTCAGGCTCTTCTGTTGTGTTACCTTCTCTGCTTGTAACCGTAGCTTCAGTGTCTCGTTGCCTTTCTTGCACTTCTTCCAGGGACTGTAGAGCTCTTTGTTTGTTTGTTGTCGCCTCTGCTTCCGCCTTCACATACAGGGCAGTTTTAGCCCTGTTTGACACTTGTGCTGATTCTCCTCTGACATTTGTGTTCACAAGTGCTTAGTCTCTTCCTGTGCTTGTCGGTTTGGGAATTTTGTCTCCCCCGTCCACGTACGTAGAGCCTGTGGTTCACCTTTAGCCGTACCCCATGGGCGCACAGATGTCTCCAGCCATAGGCATACCCCTTGGCCTGTAGCCTGTTGTGTTTGGGCATCTCCATCTGTTAGGTCTTGGATCTTTGCCTCTGAACTCTGCAGAAGATATTGCAGCTCTTTTCAGATACTGTCTGTATTGCTCTGGGCAGCCCTTTGGACCAGCGGTAGCTATTGAGTTGACTCTTGCTCTGTTTGTTCCTGCAGGGGTAGGGCCTCCTTCACCCTGGCTTTGAGTCATTCATCTTTCTTCAGGGCAGCCTTGCCCCGTCTTGTGGCTTTTTTCTCAGTGGTCAGGCTCCTTCGTCCTCCAGTTCCGCCTGTTTATGTTGCCCAGTGTGTTCTCGGCATTGCTGCAGATGTGTCCAATCTCCAGGGTTAGCTCCCTCTTGTCTGCGGTAGCTTTCTCAAAGCTCTCCTCCAGCATGAGGATCTTTTGTATTCAGTGCTGCTGTCTCAGTGTGTTTTCCGTCAGCCCGTTCTGTTGCTTGACTTTACTCTTTGACGTCCTGCACAGCTGCGCGAGGCACTCCTCAGTGCCAGCCTTGTGCTATGTTGCCTTTCCTTTATCCCTGTGGCCCAAAGGTAATGTGGGCCTGTAGTTTTGGAGTAGGTACCTTTTTAGCAGGGAAACTAGACAGTTTGGAAGATAAAGGAACTTGTGTTGGACCTCTTTCTTTTTTTCTATCACACCTCCCAGGCTGGAAAAACGGCCTCTTTTAGGGACTCTATTTGTTCTAACAAGAGGCACGTGATCTTGGGATAGCAGCCCAATGGGCTGTGTCATTACCAAGTGTCAGCCGTCTACCAGAAAGCCCAGACATTGGTTCCCTACCCTTTATTGTGACCATGGGCCTCTGGGTGTCAAAGGGGATGGAGCCTGGTCTGACCTAGTCCTGGTAATCGTTAGTTCCTGTCAGTCCAGTTGGCCAGCATCTGGCTTTTTTCTCCTTAGGGGCAATAACTTTTTGTAGGCAGCCTCCTAGTTTTGTAATTTTTATCATCTCTGTTATCATTTTTGGGTATTTATTTTTCCAGTGTCTGTATTTTTACACTGTGCACATTGATCCCGTCTAGTTTTGGCTGATTAACAGATCCCAGTTCAGTTTGACTCCTGTTTTGTCAGTGTCCTCGTCTTTGCCCCCTCGTGATTTCTGGGGTTTCTTTTTTTCTTTTCTTTTCTTTTTTCTCTGTCAGCACTGTTGTCAACGGATCTGTACTTTTAGTCTCATATCAGGTTTTTGCTTGGCCTCCTAGTCACAACTTACACACACTTTGGTAGTCACTTCTGAAAGCTGCGTCACATTCAAGCCAACAGAACCCTCTAGTTTTTGTCAGTAAGTAGCTAGACAGGGCCGAAGCACGTGAGTCTAGTCTCAACTATATGTAGCCATGAGTCAATGTAGGGAAACTGATCCTGATGCCTGGTAGTCCTCTGCTTCCAGTCACCATCCTATGTATGCGTCCAATTGTTTTTGTCAGTCATTCCCCTCCCCTGGCCAAGCATTTGCCGTTGAAAGAGGGCCAATCTACTCTGTAAAGAGTTCTTAACCTCTGGTGGGGGGAGGCTTAGCTTTATTTCATAGTTTCTTGTATAGCCTCTTTTAAAATTAGCCAACATACATTTTAATAGGGTGAGTTTTGGGGGTTTTTTCCTCCCATATCTACTCTGTTGTGGTGGCAATGACTTTGTAAAGCACTTTTGTTTTATGATCATTTTCCTCGAAGGAAATTTTAGAAGGAACAAGCTGAACTTCACCAGACAAGAAGTAATCACACATATTTCTTTTGATAAACTATTTCCACAGGCTTTTCCTTGACATACATAAGCTTTCCAGTCTTATCATTAGCTCTCCTTTTTCTCTTTAGCAGGACAAAACTTTCATCGGACAAAATCCTCTCATATTACAAGTATATCTCTTATATTTATAGCCTCCTTAATATTTTCCTTTCTCACTTACTATAAATATTTTATAACAAACTTCCTGCAGCTCCTTTGATTTTTTTTTTTTTTGTCTTTTCTTTTTTGGTTTTGGTTTTTCTCCAGTACCGGCAACCGAACTCACGACCTTGCACTTGCCAGGCAGGCACTTTGCCGCTGAGCTAAATCCTCAGCCCCAGCTCCTTTGATTTTAAAGTGACCTTTTTTTCCTTTTCAGATTACTACTTTGTAAATTTAGCTGTCAACAGACCTTGAATCAGTGTTCTTATCTTAAACCAACAGAGAGCAAAGATCAAGTTAACTCTGTAATAAGCAATATAAGAATTTGCAATATATAAGAAATGTTTAAAACATCCTGATTGATCAACTCAGATTGGAAACCAAAAGTATATTTACCAATTAGTTAAAATTTGTAATTTGATTTTTTCCTATAAAACACCTCCTTAGGCCTGGCAGAACTTTGGCCATTCAACACTGGGCTGGAGTTGCCCCTTGCATTGTTTTGCTTACAGCTCACTTTGAAATGAAAAGATAATCCTTCCTTCATCCCTCCAATCTCAGCAGGTGAAGCTGGGTCTAAGTCTTTTGGCTTTGTGCTTTTATTTTAGCTTAGCAGTTGGACAGCTGACTGCCCAGGAGTCTTTTGGTCCCAGATGACCTCAGACTCACATACTCCACCTTGCTCTTTCACACACAATTATGTTTTTCTTGCACTCTTTAGACTCACACACTTTATTTTGCACACGCACACACACACATATATATATATATATACCTCCCCTTTCCCAGTTGTTTCCATCCAGGTGTCAGATTCCTAAGTCTCTCCCGGACTGTGCTGCTTTGGCAATTCCAACACTTCCTGCTCACTGTGGGCCACTCCTGCCTTGTAAGTCCTCATCATCACGGGCCTCCCTCCACACTCCATTTGGAGTTGTAGGTTTCATCTGAGTTAGTCCCGACTGGACTGACTGTGAGCCTCTCTCAGGGCAGGCCACTCCCACATTCTTAGCACTTCTATGAGCCAGTTCTCATTGCAGGCCACTCCTGCTTGGGAATGCTAGTGCAGGCCAATTTTAGATTATTAGGTACTTCCCAGGAGGCGATCAGGCTCTCCTTCCATCCTAGTGTACAGCCGTCCCTCACTATACCACATGCAGTTCACTTATTGCAGCTTCACTGTATCATGGGTTTTTAAAAATATATATATCTAATTCTGTATCACAGAGTTTTCACTGTCTTGTGGGATTTTGTGGTATATAGGAATTTATATAATATTTATGATTTTAACTATTTTTGCCTAAAAAATTTAAAACAATATAAAAAATATTTAAAATGTTAATTCAAACATATTAAAAGAATATTAAATCAAAATAAAATACAGTATGTATTTCATCAGCAGATGAATACCGTACTGTACACAGTGGAAATACAGTATGCTACTGCTACTTGCGCAAGTTTGCCAACATGAGATTGTATACAGCACACTATTGGCTGGTGGAATGGAAGGCAACCAACCAGAGCACTGTGTTCTGTATCCTGGGTGCTGATTGGCTCAGTGACTGTAGCATCAGTCTTTTTGCTCTCCCACACTGTGCTCATGTGTTCAGCATCTCTCCTTGTCCACTTCACATCGAGTACCCATATAGAATTTTACATGTTGTTAAAATTACTTAGGCTTAAGAGTGTAGAAAGTGTTTAAGAGCACATGAAGTGTTTACAAGAGTGTGGGAAAGGTTAATAAGAGAGTGAGAAAGGTTTATAGGAGTGTGGGAGGGGTTTATAAAGCCTTAAACTATATAAATAATAAAATAAATATAACGCTGCTACTTCATGGATTTTCACCTATCATGGAGGTCTCTGGAAAGTAACTCCCACAATAGGTGAGGGATCACTGTAATGGGTTTTCTCCTTGGGCCCCCAAAACCTTACTACAGTCCTGTAGCATGCTGTTGTTCCAGAATTGTCCTGAATTCCTCAGATTCTGTTAGTGCTGATCAGGGAGAGGTCTCTGGGGTGTGGGAGGGCTAATTTCCTCTCTGAGCTGGTTTCACCCAGTGGTGCCAGAGGTCTCAGGACACCCACTACTCTGGCCCTCTTGGGCCTGCAGGCAAAGGAGACAACAAATCTGTCATCTCCTATCCCTTTGTGGTTGCCAGAAATGTTGCAGGATTTAAGAGATAGGAGAGACCAACAGGGAAAAACAGGAGGACTTTATTTTCAGACGTACACCGGCTCAGCTGATAAATCCAAAATGGCTGAGCAAAGGACGAAAGCAGGTTCCAGCTTTTATACCCTTGGTCAAAGAGGTTGGTTTTGGGCGTGGAACTTGTGCGTGGGCAGAAAGAAAACAAAGGCAGTGTGTCAAGCTGTGGCAGTTTCTTATCTTGGTGGCCCTGCTCAGACATAACAGAATGTTATGGGAACAGGAGGTTATAAAATTTCACTTACAGGGACAAAAGTTACTGCTTCAGTAGTGCCTGGTACAAGCAGAAGTCCAAGTCAATGCCACCTGACAGAAGCCCAATTCAAAGATGAGTGTTCGGTGTGAGCTGTTGTAAACAGTGGTCTTTACAGTAAGTTGATTGCACTAATTTTCCCTTCTATGATGGTTGCACTACAGTTCTAATCTGGCTTCATTTGAATTCACCTAGTGGGTAGAAGAAGAAAGGCAGTGAAGAGAGGGCCCTCCTAGTCCCCTAGGCCCACTGACCTTGTGCCACCAACTCAGAGTCACCCAGTCCCCAGGAATGATGAATCCCCAGCAAAGGGGACCAGGCTGTGCACCTGCACTGCGCCCACCCAGGGTCAACCCTTGCAGGATACCCCAGCCTGCCTGAGCTGATGTAATGGGCTTGGGGACTTGTGATGGGCTTGTGATGGTCAGGGGTGTTCCTCTTGGGCCACTCAGACCCGTTAGAGCCAGCAGAGACGTGGGGAGAGAAAGTCAGGAGAAGAGAAAGTCATGCGAGAATGGTGGGTCTTTAGCCAGGAAGCTTCAGACCTAAACGTGCAGAGGGCTTTCCAGGTGTGTGCATGCTTGAAATGCAGGCTCTGATTGAACAGGGGTGGGAGGGGTCGGGATTCTGCATGACCAAAGTTCCCAGGGTCCCCAAGGCTGTGATACTTTGTGTCTGGATTTCACGGGCTTCACAGGGGTACTGCGTGTTTACTGGGCCAAGCTGTTTTGGTGAAGTCAGTGATGGACCTGAGTTGGCCTGACTCACCTGCCCCCCATCGAGGCCAAGGGTGCTGATGGTCTGAGGCAAGTTCCAACCAGCTTGGGTTTACTGATCACAGCCTGATCCTGGCCTCTGTGGGAGCCTTGGGGACTCTACCCTGGGAGCTGGTTGTACAAGAAATGTTTTCTACCTGTGACTGTCAAGACACAAGAAGTCCCAATCTACACTCACTTGCTCTTCTTTGTTCTAATGTCTTTAAGTGTGGATATCAGTAGTTCTTTTGTTTTTTTTGTTTTGGTTTTTGTTTTGGTTTTGGTTTTTTGTCCGGTACCAGGAACCGAACTCACGACCTTGCACTTGCCAGGCAGGCGCTTTTGCTGCTGAGCTAAATCCCCAGCCCCTAGTAGTTCTTGACAAGGGAGAAAAGGTATCAGTACAGTTGTGCTGCATCAGTGTGACAACTGAGGCTCTCTCTGGCCTCTCAGGACCCTTTTCTAGGAGGCAGCCTTCAGCAGCCATGCACATCCCCATTTTAGTGCTGTTCCTCTTGTTTCTTTTTTCTGTAATAATCCTTAGGTTGGTCAGCATTGCCATTTAGGGTCCAGGGAGTTTTACTTGCCCCGGAAGCCAATATAAGAGGTATCTACCAACTGCTACCTGTAGGGGGAGCACTGTGGTCAGCCCGGTGGAGACCAAAGGAGTTAGACTGTAGCTCTCAGTTCCCCCAGGAGAGCTGGGGTGCTTTCCCTCAGCCTCATTGGCTTCACCTTGGGAGCCTGGGCCCTGTCCCCAGAGATGTAATGGTGGTCTGGGGTCCAGCTTTGGTATTGGGGTTTTAAAAGCTCTCAGCTGGTTCTAATTTGCAGCCAAAGGTGTAAACCATTCACCTAGACAGTGAATACAAGGCAATTATGGTATAGGAGAGGCTGAAAAAAGAATTAAGCCACCATGGATGCGGGGAAAGAACCACAACAGAAAAACCCTTTACAAAGTCCCATCCCTGGACACAGTTGGTGTGAAACTTCCCACTCAAGACTAGAGCCCAGCGTTGGAAGTCCTGCTTCTCTCAGGGGCTGGTTACCTTCCAAATGAGGCACAGGGGGAAGGGAAGTGCCCAACCACTAAAAGGAAATGTCATCTGCAAGGGTGGATTTCTGAACACTACGTGCCTAGGCAGGGCATGCTCAGGGACAGGAGACCACCTCCTTGTGGCAATATTGGGGATGACTGAGCCCAAGGCTTTCACACTGAGCTACATCTCAGCTCTTTTTTTATTTTTTTACTTTTAGACAAGATCTTTCAGAGTTGGTAAGTTTCCCAGGTTGGGCTCAAACTTGTGATCCTCCTGCCTCAGCTTCCCAAAGGGCTGGGATTACAGGCATGCATCACTACCCCTGACTAGCAGACTACATTTTTGCCTCTTGTAACACACACTGGGGTTAAACTCCAATTGCAGACACATCTGAGTCCCCTGTAGGCCCCGGGATAGACCACCCTGGGTGAGTGATGGCTTTGCTTTGAGACTTGGGCCTCTTTGCCAGAAGCCAGAGCACTTTATCTTCTTACCCCATCACAGCTCTGATCTGTGCGTTTGCTGTTGACCCTGAGCAAGGCATCTCTGTCTCTCTGGCTTGTATTGCTGTTCTTGCTTCCCAGTGGCTCAGGACCCCGCTCTCTTGTACTGCTATGGTCACCAGGGCCTCACAGCTTCTGCACTCACAGCCAGCAGTGCACGACTCTGAGCTGCACAGCAGCTAAGCTACAGGCAGACAATGACCAAGGAAAGCTTGGGACAGAGTGGAACTTACGTGTCACCTAACTAATGAGGAGTCCATCCCTGTACATCGAGCTATGACAGGCACAGTGACTCGGAAAGTGGGCCATTTGTTGGTTTCTAAGTAGCTCTTCCATTGTAGACTTTCTGCTGAGAAAAGAGGAAAAAAGAAAGAAAGAAAGAAAAGGAAAGAGGAAAAGCAAGGTAGGGTAAAATACAAAGAACTGCAAATCCTAGAGTCTTTGTGGCCCACTAGACTGGGGCCATCAGAAGGAGACTCCCGGTGGAGGCCCCAAAGGGACCGTGTCTGTCATCTGAGGAGGCACAGCAGTCCCACAACCCTTCTCTCACCTTTTGTACAACTGCTTTTCCTGAAGAATTTGAAGCATGATCTCAGAGGTGACTTTACACACTTCATTTCATTTCCCTGGAGCTCAGCTTTCTTACCTACAAAATGGCAGAGTCGGGAGCAGTGATTTCTAAAATCAAATACACACTGGACCCAGAAGATAATCACTAAGGTGTTATTCACACGATACAGTCAGATCTGAGGTTGGAATCTCACAGCCTCTTTCAACCCAGGATTCCAAGATTCCATTCCTTAGCCTCTGCATCCTGGGTTAGCACAAGGTCTCAGCTGAGAGTGAAAACCTCCAGGCCTTTAAATGTCAGCAAAGGAGACTTTTGGCTTGGTCAGCTTTGCTGCACAGTGAGGACCTTGGAATCAATGGGGCAGTGAGGGGGGGGGCCTCTCCAGGGTCCTGACCTTTTGGCTTTGGTTGTCTGTCCCTGAGGTGGACTTGTTGTCCCTACCCCACCTTTCTGTTCTATTCTTTCTCTTCTTAGGCAGTTTTTGTCCTTCAAGTCAGTGGTCCCCAACCATTTTGGCCCCATGGACCAGTTCTTCAGAAGACAGTTCTTCCACAGACTGGAGGGGGATGGTGGAAGGGATAACTGGGATGATTCAAGTGCATTACATTTATTGTGCGCTTTATTTCTACTATTATTGCATTGTAGTATATAATGAAATGATTCTGTAACTCACCATAATGCATAACCATCAGGATTCCTGAGCTTGTTTTCCTGTCACTGGACAATCCCATGGTGGGGGTTGATGGGAAGCAGAGACAGCCCAAGTTGCTTTTGGCCAATCTACCCTCAAGTCCTGAGAAAATCCTGATTCACAAAGAAGGATGCTGGAAGTGGAAGCAGGCTGTTCAGTGCTTCTGTGAGAATCTCAGGATGCCCTGCCTTGCCTTTAATCCAGAAGGCCTGGAAATTTGCAGATGTCTCCAACATATTTTTAAGGGCACTGTCATTTGCAGTTGATCCCTTTCTAATACAAAGTCAGTTCGTGTGTGTGTGTGTGTGTGTGTGTGTGTGTGTGTGTGTGTTCAATTTGTCTCTGGGTTCAAGTTTCATTTTTAAAGTTTTTGAGCCAGGCTTGGTGGCATACACCTGTAATCCTGGCTTTTTGGGAGGCTGAGGCAGGACAATTGCAAATTGCAGCACTGTTTGGACAATTTAGAAACTTAGCAAGGTCCTGCCTTGAAATAAAAAATAGAAAGGAACTGGGTTTGTTGCTCATTATGCAGGCCCTGGGTTCAGCACCCAGTACTGCAGAAGTCAAACTGTTTTCCTTCCCCATCTCTCTCTGTGTGGTGCTTTTGTGGACTGAACCCAAGGCCTTCATACTGAGCCACACTAAGTTGCCCAGGCCGGGCTTGAACTCACAACCCTGCTGCTTCAGCTGCGCAGGGTGCTGGAGTTACAGGTGTGAGTCTGCGCTCTCAGTGTCAGCCTTGCTCTTGAATGTCGCTGAAGGAGGTCAGCCTGCAGGGGATCAGTGGGGCCTGGTATTCATCTGTGCTGTCTGCCCTGCAGTTCTTTCTGTCCGTCTCTCCCTGTCAGGGCATTTGGTTGGTTTTTTAAGTTCATTTTGTTCTGTAGTACTGGAGACCAAACCCAGGGCCCTCCATGGGCTAGACAAGCACCCTAGGGATGAGCTGCACCCCCACTCCTTTTGATTTTCAATTTTGAAGGAGAATCTGGCTAAGTTGCCTGCGCTGGCCTACATCCCGCAGTGCTCCTGCCTTAGCCTCACGTGGCTGAGATGATGGACATGTGCCCGAGAGCCCAGAGAATATCTCCACACAGCCCTGCATGGCACACACCCACAATCCCAGCTACTCGGGAGGCTGAGGGAGGAGGATCGCAGCTTGAAGGCCAGCCTGGGAAATGTTTAGAAAGGCCTGGGGATGTAGCTCAGAGGTAGCACACTCACCCAATACATGCCCTGCCGTGGTTTTCGTTGTCAACACTGAAAAAACAGGAAAACTTTCCTAGCAGCCCAGAGATGACTGCCTGCCAGACTCAGTCTAGTGCAGGACTGCTCTGGACGCTGCTCTGGAGTCCCAGTCTGCAGGTGGCCCCAAGAGCGGCTGTCCTTCCCTCACAGATCTGGGACACGGCGGGTCAGGAAAGGTTCCAGTCCCTTGGCGTGGCCTTCTACCACGGAGCAGACTGCTGTGTGCTGGTGTTCGACGTGACGGCCCCCAACACATTCAAGACCTTGGACAGCTGGAGGGATGAATTCCTCATCCAGGCCAGCCCCCGGGACCCTGAGAACTTCCCCTTTGTCGTGCTGGGGAACAAGATCGACCTTGAAAATAGACAAGTAAGTGCCGAAGACCTAGGGCTCTGCTGGAAGGGTCCCACCCTGGTGGCTTTGGGCTGTGTCTTGCTCTTGGAGCCAGACCCTCTTTCTGCACTTGGTGGGAGGAGATTTGATTTGTCACTGGTGGCCGGGTCTCCAGTGTGCACAAGATGGCTCGGGCGTGAGCAGCATCACCCGTGTACCTCAGGCGCATGTCCCTGTGAGGATGGCCCTTGCTCTGGTGACGGCACACTTGCCTTTCAGCTGTCTGCCAAGACTTAGTCCTGGGCTGCGGAGGGGAGGAGGGGTGCAGAGCACCGGCACCAGAGCATGTGGCTCAGACGACGAGACAGGAGCAATGGGGAGGACCCGCTCCCTTCCTAGTGGCTGTAGCGGAGGCGGGGCTGGAGGTCTGAGCTGGCCTGCAGGTGGCCAAGGTGGGTCTGCGGTGCCCTAGCCCCATTCCCGAGTCTGTGCAGCTGGCTGGGTTACTGCCCACTGGGGCCCCGCTTCCTTCTCCAGGTGGCCACAAAGAGGGCACAGGCCTGGTGCTACAGCAAAAACAACATTCCCTACTTCGAGACCAGTGCCAAGGAAGCCATCAACGTGGAGCAGGCATTCCAGACGATTGCCCGGAATGCGCTTAAGCAGGTGGGTCCTCAGGGAAGATGCCGAGTTCTGCTTAGTCCCAGGGAGCCCACCCCCTTTGGATCAGCGGGAGGCGTGGTCGTGGAGCCCTGGGCCAAGGCCAGCCTGTGTGTCTGTGCTGCCCTGGTTCTTCCTGTGCTCTTGGGAGGTCAGGCATTCGAGGGGCCCGGACAGATGGTGGCTTCTGTGTCAGTCATGAGTTCGGGAGCTTTCATTTCCTCCGTGCTGCTGTCCTCTTGTCTGCTTTCCAAGGGGATTCTCTTTCAAGTGAGCGACAGACACGAAAGGAAATGTTAGCCAGGACCCAGTCTTGGAGCTCCTGCTAACCTTCCCCGAGACAGTGGCTGTGACCACAGGTGGGACAGAGGTGGTGCAGGTGGAGCAGCTCTGCTGGGCACCATGGCTGGTGAAGGTGGGCTCGAGGCG